AAACATTCAGTTAGAATAGTTTTTGAAATTCTTCCCTCAAATGCTACACAAAATTCGCTCATTTAAAGTATCCCCAGAGATTGATTTCAGGAAAAACTAACCTACCAGCCCTCAAATACCCACCCATCCAACCAACCAACAAACCAATAAAAGTATGTTTATAACCATTAGCCCTTCAAACTTTTAAAAGGCCAATTGCAGCTGTGCCTACATAACACAAAATTGTATAAGAGCTGTTTAGACAAAGCAATAAACAAATAACAAAACTAAACAGACAAAAAACACCCTCTTGAACAAATACTGTGTAGTGTAAAGGTCTGACATGAAGTTTTTTATTGTCAAAGCCTCCATTTCAAAGACATTTGTCTGGAATAAACACCACCAGCCACGTGACACAGCTACCAGTAAAACAACCTGGCTGCCCCCACCCAGGAAGTTCCCCTGTGCAGAAAGCCCTGGGTAACCTAGAACTGACTGCATGAGTGACCCTACGTTTCCCTTCCCGTGCCTTAATTCCCACTCTTATGTTTTCAGTTCCCAAATGGTGGACCCACAAAACCCTAGACACCCCACTTTCGTACCCCCCAATAAAGGCAGAGCCCCAGGTTTGCACTCCCCTCCCTCTCCCCTTGATCTCATTGTGTGGCCCTCGGTTGTGCTGTGTATCTTCTAGTACCTGTGAGTAATAACTATGAGTAATAAATCTTTCTTCAAAGTTTCCTGGTGGTTGCTGCTGAGGTCCATCTTGCAATCATAGTAAGAACCAGGGGGGCTGGTTCAGCCACAGCATGTCCGTGGGGCCTCTCCACAGCCACAAGTGGTACAGGCGCTGGTGAGTGTCCCAGACATTCCTTACTAACTGAAGACAGCATCACTGTGGCCTCACTTTCGATTGGCTGAGACAGATGGGAAACATATCCCTATAGAAGTTTGTGTCTCTTGTTTTTTCCAAAAAAACAAAAGGCAGAGACTGACAGGAAAAATACCCTTAGTGAAGTTTGTTTCTATTTTTTTCCCCCAGAAGTCAAATCAAAGAAGAAAGTTTTTAAATAGTACACTGAATTTTATGCAAAAATTCAAAACAAAACAAACCTGCTTTGAGTATGTGTCTTCATTGTTCCAGTAACCGTCATAGAGAAATCTTTCATTGTTTGACAAATATGAGTTAAGAATCTAACAAATTTATAAATGCCATACATCTGTGAACACATCTTTTTTAGACACTTGACATATTTTGTATTTTTACATCTTTTATTTGAGGTATCATTGACATATATTATATCAGTTTCAGGTGTACAATATAATTTATTTGATATTTGTATGTCCTGCAAAATGATCATCAAAATAAGTATAGTTCCCTTCTGTCACCATACAAAGTTACAAAAGAGGCAATTTCATGTCATTGACTAGTCACTCTGCTGTCCACTACATC